GCCAGCCAGAGCCCAGTGTCCTTCCAAGCTGTCTCCAAGGTGACAGGATTGTCACAGCCCACCTTCCCCCGCTGCCTTCCCTCTGCCTGGGCCCGATTTCAGACCTGTAACTCCTTTTCCTGCATGGATTCTCTCACTGGAGAAGAGAAATGAGGTTTTATTTGGTTTTTTTTTAGCTAGATAAAAGGGGCTGCCTTGGCGTGACCTGTGCAAAGTGGGGTTTCTGTCTCTGTGTGTACATTTGCAGCTCTGAGGATTTATTTGCTCGGTTATTTAACGTATTTATGGCTTAACCCCGTTGTGTTCCTGGTGCTCCCTGCCCTGGCAGCTCCCCCTGGTGCTGGGGCTGCTCCAGCCTCTGCCCTGCCCTCCCTCCTGGTGTCCCTGCAGCCCTGGGATGTCACCTGTGCTGTGGCACTGTCACCTGTGCCCTCTCCATTCATTCCAGGACCTTTCCTGGCTGGGTTTGGTGTTGGTGTGAGTCCCTGCAGCCCTGGGATGTCACCTGTGTCCTGGGATGTCACTGTGCCCTGGCACTGTCACCTGTGCTCTCTCCATTCATTCCAGGACCTTTCCTGGCTGGGTTTGGTGTTATTGTGAGTCCCTGCAGTGGCCCTGGGATGTCACTGTGCCCGGGCACTGTCACCTCCTGCCCTCTCCATTCATTCCAGACCTTTCCTGGCTGGGTTTGGTGTTAGTGTGAGTCCCTGCAGTGGCCCTGGGATGTCACTGTGCCCTGGCACTGTCACCTGTGCCCTCACCATTCATTCCAGACCTTTCCTGGCTGGGTTTGGTGCTGGGTGTGAGTCCCTGCAGTGGCCCTGGGATGTCACCTGTGCTGTGGCATTGTCACCTCCTGCCCTCTCCATTCATTCCAGGACCTTTCCTGCTGGGTTTGGTGCTGGCTGTGAGTCCCTGCAGCCCCCAGGATGTCACTGTGCCCTGCCATTGTCACCTCCTGCCCTCTCCATTCATTCCAGGGCCTTTCCTGGCTGAGTTTGGTGTTAGTGTGAGTCCCTGCAGCCCTGGGATGTCACCTGTGCCCTGGCACTGTCACCTGTGCCCTCACCATTCATTCCAGGACCTTTCCTGGCTGGGTTTGGTGCTGGCTGTGAGTCCCTGCAGCCCTGGGATGTCACTGTGCCCTGCCATTGTCACCTCCTGCCATCTCCATTCATTCCAGACCTTTCCTGGCTGGGTTTGGTGTTATTGTGAGTCCCTGCAGCCCTGGGATGTCACTGTGCCCTGGCACTGTCACCTGTGCCCTCACCATTCATTCCAGACCTTTCCTGGCTGGGTTTGGTGTTAGTGTGAGTCCCTGCAGTGGCCCTGGGATGTCACTGTGCCCTGGCACTGTCACCTCCTGCCCTCTCCATTCATTCCAGACCTTTCCTGACTGGGTTTGGTGTTATTGTGAGTCCCTGCAGCCCTGGGATGTCACTGTGCCCTGCCATTGTCACCTCCTGCCCTCTCCATTCTTTCCAGACGTTTCCCCTGCAGCAGCTGCTCCAGGCTGGGCTGGTGGGAGCAGCTCCTGCCCTGAATCCCTGCAGAGGCTCGGGGTGAGGGGCTGAGGTTCAGCCCAGGCTGAGCAGGAGCCCCTGCACACCCAAGGGCTGCTCAGAGCCCTGGCAGCTGCACTGGGAACCATGAACTTGAAACAAAACCTCTCTTTCCAATAAAAGCTGCTATTGTACAAACTGCTGCTTTGGATTTGCTTTTGATTCTGCACCTGTATTTAATTCCAGTTCTCAGTGTTAAAATAGGAATGTCATAATTTTATGAAGGAGGGCAATCAGAAAAGTTCTCTTTCTATTGTGATTCTTCTCCTGCCCTCTGGGCAAATGTTATTTTGCTTCCAGAGTGGTTTTGTGATTATTATTTGGAGCTGTTTGGGTTTGTGCTGTGCTGGAGTTGCTGCTGATATTTTAAATCCAGTGAGAATAAGTGTTATTAATTGACTTTAGTACCTTGTTTACTCCCTTAATTCCTGCAATGATTTATAAATCCTGTGTTGAGATTCAAACCTGGTGTTCAATAAAAAGCTCGTTTCATATCTGACCAGCCTGGGAAGCTGAAATATTTATATCATATTTATATCATAATGTAAGTGGAACCTGCTCTGTGGCTGGGATGGGGAAGGTGTCTCACCAAGTACTGGAAGATATAAAATATATTTCAGATGATTTAGATACCACTTGGAAAAGCCTGTGGGGAGCAGGAGAAGGGGTGTGCTCAGAGCAATCCAAGCTAAACCAGAGCTCCCTTTTCTTTGGTTTCTGTGGATTTGAGAATGGAGAAAAACCTGGATTTTGAGGGGGAAAACACTTGTGTAGAATATTTTGCTGTAGTGAATACAAGAGGAGCTTTTGCAGGAAATTCCCACAAGCACTAAGAGTGTAATATAACCGTGAATGGGGATTTCAGGTGAATTGTTTTCTCATGTGTTTTATTAGGCAATTTCACTTTTTATGAGTCTAACTTTCCCTTGTGTTTAGAGCCAGCCTTTGGTGCCTTCTTGGCTGAAAATCAGCATTTCCCTCTCCCCTCACTCCTCGGGCTGTGTGTGCATAAAATCTACAGAATAATTCCAAGTGGAGAATTTTTAACCTTCTATTTTTTAATACCAGAAATGCTGTAAAACCCTACTTTGCCCATTTTTAGGTAAAGTTTAATTTTGTGAGCAGATTTCAGTTTTTAGCATTTTTTTTTCCCTGTAAAATGTCATGTGTTGGAACATCTCCAGACCAGTGATTAATCCTGATTTTCACTCTCTAGTTCCTCACTTACATTTCCCTGGCTGGAGTTTGATAAATTTGGAAGATGAGTCTGTGTGTCTGCCTGCCACTGGAACTGGGATGCAGCCATGGAACCTCACCTTTATTCCAGTGGGGCAGAACTCACTGGGAAAAGCAGAAAACATCCTTCAGGCACAATTGCTTAAAGGCTGCTGCTGGAGCTCCACTAGCACAGTTTGGAACAGGAAACCAACACATGTTCTGGTTTAATCTTTATTGATTTTGGTTTTTTTACAAGTATAGAATCTCATTGAAATCAGACAGCGATCGCAGCGCTCTGCCTGCTCCCCCTCCTCCAGAGGCCACAGAAGCTCTGGTGCCTTCTCAGGAGCACCAGGGGCTCTCCTGGGCTCCAGCCACACTCCAAGGAACCAGCAAGGCTTCTCCAGGGAGGGCTGGGGCTGGAGTGGCTCCTGGCATGCTCTGGGCGAGGCCAGGCCTCTGTCACCACCCTGGGGACAGAGAGGAGCAGCCCTGGGATGCAGCATCACCTCGAGGACGGAATGGAGCGAGGCAGGAGTGGCTAAGGCAGGTCCTGAGGGGAGCTGGAGCTGAGCAACCCAGGGGACTGAGCCCCTCTGGGGCTGGGCTGGCTGCTGGGATGCTGCTGGATGCTGGCACACACATACACAGCCCAGGAACCCAGGGAATTCACCCCCTCCTGGAGGGATTTACCCCTTCCAGGGCTCTGGGCTGGCTGCTGGGAAGCTGCTGGATGCTGGCACACACCCCCAGCCCTGGCAGGGCCATGCACACATTCCTGAGCGTCTCTTTGGCTGCCCCAGAGGCTTCGTCCCTCCTGCTTCTGCCTTGAGCCACATCTGGACAAGATCTGTCAGCTTTCCACCCACAGAACACACCAGCATTTTCCAGTGGTTGAAGTGTATTCCAGGACTATTGCCCCGGCATGGAATGAGTGAAAAAGGATCTTGTATTTATTTGATTTGAATTGCTCAATTTTTATTTTACTTGTGGCCGACACGGACTGATTCAATCTTTTTTGTTTGTTTGTTTTTTTCCCTTTTTCCCCCTAACTTTGAATACGATTAAGAGCTGACTAAAGGTCTCAAACACTATATACTGAGAGTCACTACGGATGTTAAAGAAAACACCAGCACCACAGCCCCTGTGCTCCTGCCTCCCTGGTGCTTGGAAAACCTGCTGCTGTGGGGCAGGGCCTCGCCAGTGCTGCTCCTGAGCCACTACAGGGTTGTGCAAGGAAGCAAACAAGCTAGAACAAAATATCCAGGCTACTACTGAGGCAGGAAGCGTACTTGGGCCATCCACTCTGCCCAACGCCTCTCAGGCCCTTCCCTGGAGGTTCCTAATAAACTGACTAAAAAAAAAAAAAAAGGAAAAAAAAATGGAGGCTTTATGGAAGGAATAAACTTATAATGAGACCCGGATTTACTAAATCAGAGATGCAGATGGGAAATCCCCATAGAGAAAAACGCTTCGAAGGGAATCGTTGGCCTTGCGGGTCAGTGAGGTGAGAGTTGAGGTTCTGCTGTGTGGTAGAGAACCAAAGTTGGCTGTAGAAGGAGAAGGGAACATCTCCAGTCTGCTCAACTCGCGTTTCCCATCTGCAGTCCCGTTAAATTCCCCAGTAAGGCATCAGGGGTCTCCTCTCTCTCTCGTAAACGTCCGGGACGATGCCGTAGGGCGTCTGTACCATTTTAACCGTGGTCTTGCCAAAGAGCTTCCTCTCGTAGTCTATCAGCTGCCGCCAGAAGCCCACGTTGGGCCGGATCACGGGGCGCCGCGCCTTCACCCAGCTGTAGGCCTCCAGCAGGGAGACCTTGTGGTGCTTCATGAGGAAGGCGATGCAGAGCGTGGCCGACCTGCTGACGCCGGCGGCGCAGTGCACCAGCGCGGCGCCGTGCTTGCGCGCCACGCTCTGGATCTTGTCGGCCACGCTGTCGAAGTAGAGCGAGATGGGCGCGTTGGGCATGTCGGCCAAAGGCACTTTGACGTACTCAAACTGGGGCCAGTTGAAGTTGGGGATCTCGATGGTGGCGTTGATGATGCACGTGATGCCCCGCGACAGCAGCAGGTGCCGGTTGGAGGCCACGCTGCCCCGGCTCAGGTACAGCGAGGGCGTGATCTGGGCGATGCCCCCCAGGGCGCCTTCCGAGAGCAGCCGCGGAGCCATCAGAGTTCTCGGCAGGGAGTTGTGGCTTCTGGAGGTCATGGAGGATCCTCAGCTCAGGCTTCCATCATGGGGAGAGAGCCAAGGGAGGATTGTCTGGCCTGCTGGCGGCAGGACAGCGAGAGCTCCCGCTGCTCAGTCACTGCAAAACACAAGGGAGGCCGTGAGCGGGAGCTGGGCCTGACCTGAGCCAGGGAACAGGAAAGCCCAGCTCGCCCTGCTCTGGCCTGGCACGGCTCCGTGGGGAATGTGGGGCTGGGCCCACAGTGCTCATTACTGCCCTCCCCCAGGCACTGCCTGGACAGATAGTAACAAAAAAATCTTCAGCCTAATTAACTCCAATTACTCGTCAAGGGTTCACCTGTGGGCCCGGACAGCATCTCAGCCGGCCCAGCACGTGGAGGATGAGCTACACCTCTTCCATGCCTAAACACAGCAGCTTCACAGCTGGCCACGGTTCAAAGGGATGGTGAGGAACAGCAGATGCCAGCAATTTCCAGCAGGCTGCCCTCTCCCCAGTGCCACCCTTCTCCTTTTTAGGTGCAGGAAAGGCCCCGCCAAAGCACATAAACAGAGGAAAGTCGCTCATTAGGAAAGGCGGTGAGTCACGTCCATCCCCATCAGTCATCAGCTCTCACAGAGGCAGGGGAAGTGTGGAAAGAGTGACCTGGTTATGTCAGAAGCTGGGAGTAAAACCCAAGAGCAGAGGCTGGGACAGGGGAGGCTCTTGTCCTGCTTCAATGCCTGACTAATGCTTGGCAGAGGCCTGGGAGTGCCTGTGAGAGCCACACGGGCCTGGAGGGTCCCTGCTCTGACCCTCCTGCTCCTTTGGGGCACCTCCAAAGCCAGGGAGAAGCTGCAGGCAAGGGGATGAGCCCTGGAGCATCAATAATTTGCCAGTCTGTGTTCTCTGTTTGGAGAAGGGCACGGGAAAGGCTCAGTCTGTGCAGGCTGGGGAGTCCCTGCCCAGGTACCCCTGAGCCCACCCTGGTGGCACTGGCAGGGCTGAGGGGACTTGGGATGCTCAGGGCCTTGGGGAGAGGGATCTGCCCCTCCAGAATTCCTAATTATGTTAAAAGGCTCCTTTAAAGGGCTGTGGCTTCCCTGCCCTCAGCTGTGTGCCCTCATGCCGTGCTCTGGGAGGCACCAGCAGGTCCCAGCAGTGGCTGGTGGTGCTGCCAGTGGATTTTTGGCTCTGTGCTATAGAAACTTAATGAGCACAACGTGGCCTCCCCTGTGACTCTTCCCTGCTGGCAGCTACTTGAGCAGCTCCTGCAGCTGAGGACTAAAGCTGCAAAAGTTCCTGCCCCAACAAGGCTTTTGCTGCAGCTACGAGTGCCCAGCTTCCCCCCAGTGCAGCCACCCAGCTGCAGCAGCAAGGAAAGGGGTGTTTTTCCAGAGGAATAAATTTCTCTGAGCAGGGGATATCCCTGCTCTGTCAGCTCTCACTGACAATGCAGAGGGTTTGGGCACTTACAGTTGGTGACAAGGTCCCGCTCTCGGTCACGGTGTGGCACTGCAGAACTTGGGGCTGCTGGGGCTGGGGTGGCTCAGGGAGAGTGTCCCACGCTGGGCTGGGGAGACAAAACAGCATGNGATGGGATGGGATGGGATGGGATGGGATGGGATGGGATGGGATGGGATGGGGTGGCTCTGTGTGATCCTGCAGTCTGTGCTACCTGTAGCAACATGTTCCTGTGACTCACAGCTGGCTCCTGCAGCAGGGAGTGGGATTGAACAGCCAGAGGGAACCAGCCCTGGAATCTGGTGGTCTCAGCAAGCTGTGCTTGAACAGCCATTGTGTCCCTGCTGCTTTGTGCCTCTCTGGACAGGTTTGTGTCACAGACTCTCACTAAATGTCACCTGGTTCCTCCTTCAGATCCAGTATCCAGAGGACAGTGCAGGCAATGGAGTGCTGGTTACAGGATTGAAACCTGGGGGAGCCTCATGGTGTTACAAGAGCCATCCCACCCCTGTCTGGGGCTGCAGGGAATGCAGTGGGCTGTAAATCCATAGGGTGCAACTCTCTCCTTAATTCCTTGGCTTAGTCTCTCACATCTGTTCCTTTCCTCCAGCCTCTCCAAGCTAATCCTGCCCCCATTACCAGTACCTGACACTGACCTGTGGTTATTTGCTGAAACAGAAATTACAATGAGGAAAACGATGCTTTGTATTTAAAAAACAAACAGGCTTAGTTATATGAAACTATTAATTAGCCCAAATGAAAGAATCTTGGCTCAGAGGTGTCTGGCTCCTTCCTTACACCAATTACAATAAATCTCCTTGCTGCCTCAAATTAGCTCATTCATGAAATGCAGCCCCGTGTGCCTGCAGCTCCAGCTGATCCAGAGGCAGATTTCCCGTGCTCTGCTTCCCACATCCTGCCCAGCAATTTCCAAAAATGCAGGAAAACAGCTCCTTGCTTCTCTCCCTTTGTTTTATCAGGTGGGAAGGAGCTGCAGCAGCCCAGCTTGTGCCCACAGCCCTTGTGCAGCACAGTGAGGTGCTGTGCCCTCAGCAGTGTTCCCTCAGCAGTCTGGGCACAGGGAGAGGCTGGTGCTGAGGGAATGCTGTGTTGGGAAATGGGATTTTATGTCAGCCACCAGCACTTTGCTAGAGAGGATTTTGTCCCCCTTAATTGAAAGAAGATGCCACAAATAAGAGGCCCTGGTGTGAAGCTGTCACAGGGGCATTTCCGTGCTGGTTTTTCAGCACCTGTCACCAGCTCAGCCCCTCTCGTGTCCTTTGGCCCATGAAAAAGGGAAGGACATTTCCAGTTCCAGCTGCAGCAGAGCTCACTGCAGGGTGGTGGCACCATCCTGTCCTTGTGGGGCAGGGATGCTGCTCCCAGCTGCAGCCCTGGGCNATGGGGTGCCCAAGAACTGGGAGGGAGCACACGGCTTCCCCACAGAGAGATGAGGGCTCAGGGTGGCACTTGCTGCCAAGACCAGAATGTCACCAATTCCTGCCAACATGGCACTCAGAATCACAGCAAGCCCTGAGGAATCTGAGGCTGGCACAGAAGTCATGGCTCAAAAAAAAAATAAAGTCATTTGAGTAATTGGTTTACTCTAATGTGTCCTTTAGCATCTGCCCAAGCCCAGACAGCTGGGGCAGGTCTGTGTCCTTCTGATGGTGCCCAAGCCCCCCACAGGGACCCCCTGTTCCTGTGAATGGGAAGGGGCAGAGCTGATGCCAGAGCCACAGCACCGTGCTCCCAAAAAGCTGAGGATGGGGCCAACATCCCCTTCCTTCCCCAGAAGCCCCCAGAGTGGAATCCCCTGGGAAACGCTGCTGGGTGAGAGCAGAGCCACCCCAAAGCAGCTCTGGGCAAGGCAGAGCCTCCAGCTGCTCCTGGGGGAGCTGGAGTGGTTTGGGAAGGGCTCTGCTGCTTTCCATAAAGTGGTTCCTGTTTGCAGGCAGGAACTTATCCGGGGATTTGCATGTGACAGGCTGGGCTCGCTCTGCAAACCGGGGCTGCTGCACTGGCAGCAAACACCTGCTCATCCCATCCCATCCCATCCCATCCCATCCCATCCCATCCCATCCCATCCCATCCCATCCCATCCCATCCCAGGGTGCTCCCAGCCCCATCCAGCCTGCCCTGGACACCTCCAGGGACGCAGGGGCAGCCACAGCTGCTCTGTCCCACCTGTTACACCCCAGGCACACACACACGACATCCCCGGGGCTCGGAATGGCCCACACGGCTCCCCCCGAGCCAGAGCAGCTCTCAGCCAGGAGGAGGGAATATTTGGAAGAGAACCTCATTATTGCAGCGAGAGATAAGGCTGCTGTGCCCACAGCCCCGTGCCTGGGGGTGACGGTGCCCAGCTCTGGGCACAGCAGGGCGGGCACCGCGTCCCTCCCGTGCGGCGGAGCTGCCGCGATGCCACCGGCTGTGGCTGCTGGCTCAGGCATGTGACAGAGCCACGCTGCTGCCCACACACAGCCGGCTGAGCAGCTGCTGCTGAGCAGGGAGCTGGGCATGGAAGGGGCTGGGCTGGCAGCAGCTCTGGCTCCCCCAGGCTCGCAGGTGTGAGCCTTCACCTGTGCCCGGGGCTGCACCCACATCCCTCCTGTCTGACCCCAGTGCCCTGCTGTGCTCCTGTGAGATCCCTCTTTGTCCCCAGGGCTGCACCCTGCCCGGCCCCAGTGCCCCTGTTTGCTCCTGTGAGATCCCTCTGCCCTTCCCAGCACACCCCCTGTAATCCAACACTGCTGCTCTTCACGCAGCCATTCCCCTCATTGTGCTGGGGCAGAGGAACAGAAAAGGAATGAAAAGCCTCTCCCCAGCCGTTGCCGAGTGCAGGAAAAAAAAAAAAAAAAAGGAGAAAATCGCAGGAGATGGAACAAAGCCCTCACACAGCCTGGCATGGCTGTGCCTGGGAGGGCTGGTGGCACAAGGGGCTCCTGGCAGGGCACAGGGAGGGGCACCACTGCCCCTTCAGCCTCTGCACTGCCAGGTACAGCCAGGGAGCAGTGCCTCATGTGAAATAAAAACCCCAGCTCTTCTCCTACTGCTCCTTGGTTGGGTTTCTGAGTGCTAGCATAGGCTGGGCAGTCACAGCAGCCCAAAGCCCCGGGGTGCTGGGGCCAGAACTGTCCCCAAAGCAGCACTGGAAGCACTCTCCAAAGGAGCTGGAATGTCACTGGGGTTTCCTGCAAAGGCCTGACATCCCCAGAGGCTGCAGATGGTCCTTGAGGAGAACAGTGGGCTGTTGGCATCCAGGTGCTCCTGCCATCACATCCTCCTTTTTCTGGGCTGACTCCAGTTAATGAATTAATTAATCTTGCAGCAGCCGTGACCCACAGCAAATCCCTTTCCAGACTGTGCCTTGGTCACGCACTGAGCCCAGACAGTGCCCAGAGGGAGGGCAGGGACCCCGGGGTGGCAGGGGGACCCTGATGCAGCAGGGCAGGACTGGAGCAGCCTCCTCCCTCCCCGGCAGACTGGTGGGTTCTGCCATTTCCCTCCTCTGCATAATCAGGGGTGGGGGAAGCCAGTGGCTAATTACAGCCTGGAGAACACTCTGCTCCTCAAAGCCTCCAGGTCCTTCACCAGCACTCCTGGCCAGCACCATCCTCGGGTTTATGGCGAGGGGACACTTCTGCAGCCCCATCCACCCGGATCTGATCCTGCAGCCAGGATCTCCAGCTCTCAGTGTAGCTCCTGCCGCACTCCAGGCTGAGCTTTGTGCTTCCCCAGTCTCAGGAGGAGAGGCAGGTGCCCAGCCCGGGCAGTTGCTCCCATGGAAGGCTGGCTGTGTCCCACCTGGGCTGGATCTCCTGGCCCCAGAGCTGCTCCTTTGCAGGTAAGAGGATTTCCAGAGCAGTGCAGTGATCCCAAAGCCGTGCTTGGTGTTTTGGTGGTGCAGCCCCTTGGAAAGGTTGCTGCCGGCAACGCTCGTGGCTCTGCTCCTCCAAATCTTGCAGCAGCTGGAGTTTGTTTCTCTTGCTTTCATTGCTGGGAAGGCAGTCCTGTTAACAAAGGCTGGAATTCCCACGGGAAAGCGTTGCTGGCTCCTGGACCTCCTGAGAAAGACTTGAAAACACCTCTGGAAGCTCAGATGACAAACAGGGTGAGTTTGTGAGTGGAGTACTGTGATCTCCAGGACAGGAGGGAGAACTGGTCGGGCTCTAGACAATGAGTTGGCAAGTCTGAGCTTCTGCCTTCTTATTCTGGTGCTGCCGGGCGGTTTGCTCTCATTTTTAAGGGTTTGGTTTTTTGTTTGTTTGTTTTTTAACGCAGCTCCTCTGCCTTGAGAGCTGAGGCTGTGGCTCGTTCCTGGGGCACTTGAGTTTCTGTTGGGTTGTGTGGCAGGAACACAACCAGGGGCTGGTACCTGGACAGGTGAGAGCTCCCCAGGCCTCTCTCCCTCTGGAGCATGGGTTTTGTGCAGGGTGGGCCCTGCTCTGCTCAGGGAACAGAGACACTGAAGCCCCTGCTTTAATTCCCAGATCATCATCTGGGATTTGGAGAAGATTTCTGGGCTGGGTGTGCGAAATGTCAGTACTGAGGCAAGGCTTCTCCCCCCTCCCAGGAGAGGAAAAGTTATTCATTTTGGAGATGACAAATGCTCTCTAATCCTGCAGTAAAGAGAAGAGTCAATATCGCAGGCGCTGAATGAACGAGCCTGCTCAGGGCTCTTCCCAGCCAGCCTGAACAGCAAATTGCTGCAGAAATGGTCCTGGAGAGTGGCATTTCAAATAAATTTCAACAGACAGCACAAACTGCAGCCATTCTGGGGTCAGGGCTTGCTTGTGCTGAGTCCAAGGGAGCCCAAAGCAGAGCTGGAGAGGAGAGATCAAGCGGGAGCCGCCGGCTCCTCTTCCCAGCCCTTAGCTCTGCTCTCCTGCCTCTGGTTGTGCTCCTGGAGCCATTACAGGCGTGGGTCAGAGCCATCAGCACATCCTCACCACGGAAAGGTCGAGTGGTTCCGTTTGGAACGGGAAAGGAGGAAGGGGAGCAGGCGGGGTGATCTGGGCTGAGACAGAGGATGCTGCGACCAACCCCCGACTGCTTCTGCTGGCAGCCTGGGCTGGCCTCTCCGAGCAGGATGGGAGCTGTCAG